GCACGAGTAAGAGGTGTTATAAAATCGCGTAGGTTGACACCGTAAATTTTCCGTTCTCCCATGAAAAATAAAATCATTAAAATTGGTACGTGTGTTGCTGGATTTATTGTTTATGAGGTGCAACTGATGTTGTTATCTCTCAAATTACTCACTCGACGTACACCAACATTTACCAATTTGATAAAACAATTACCAGAGAATAAACAACAACCCAAAAATATCTTGAGAACTTTCAACCCCGACCCTTTGACGACTCCATCGAACTTTCGACAAGATTTTTAATTAAGAATTCACTATTTGATGAGGAAATATAAATGAGAATCGTAAATTTCACTTCAATTATCCCGTGAAATTTAATAGAAATGCGGAAATATCAGCTAATTACATTCTCAATTCAACAAAATTACGTTCTTCCCAAATAATAAATTCTTCTTCCGTAAATAAAATTTAATACCCCTTCCAAATAACGACTAACTCCCAATAAAAACTCAATCCTTCTCCTTCCACCCTTCAATAACTCCTCATTCCAATTAACCGACATTTCATTGCAAATTCCACGTCAATTCCATAAAAATCCCGACAAATCCCAATCCCTGTAATCATATTAAAATATTTTCCCGAAGGATTCACCCTCCAAAACGTAATCCGAGAAATGTAATTCCTCTCCAATTAACGAGCCCTAATTTCCCCATTAAAAAAGCAAGAAAAAAAATAACAAATTCTCACCAGAAACGAATAAATAAATAAAATGATATAATTTGTGTTGACATTACCCAAAGGAACCCCATAACTTTCCCATAAAAAATCCTTTAATACCCCCCTAATATCCCCGTCTCTAATTACATGAGTTCTTAATTATCCCAGACTGATGTACCGGAGTAGTGGGGGTAAATATAACAGTCTGTACGATGGTTTCAAGACTGAGAGGCATATGCTGTGTCTGGGCAAACGAGTTAACGAGGTGAACATTTTACGTTTGATATTTATCCGATGGGTCTCCGCCTCGGGACCCGTTTTATTGAGTCATATATCAAAACGTTCGAAGGTAAGTCAGGTGAGGGGTAGAAATAGGGGGAGGGTAAAGAGGGGAGATTGAAAGAGGGAGATCTCAACATCCAAACGCAAAACGACTGTGAGGTCAACAGTATATACCATATAAAATTCCCCTCAGGACATCGATGATTATTACTTTATATTATTTATATATCTCTTATTACGGTTTTTGAATTTTTAAACATTCAATTTTCCATTATTTTTCATTTAATTTTTTTTATCCCCAACGAGAGGTATTTAAAATTGTGCCATTAACAATTTCGATGTGACACGAACCGTGGAATAAATAATAAACGCACAAAGACCCGAGACACTGTGAATACATTGGGGGAGGGCTGAAGGGGATGAAGTGCGGGGGGGTGTGAGGGGGGGGAGGCGGTGGGTGAGGGGTTCCTGGGCTCGCGCCATATTTACATCCGATAACGAGGCCGCCAGGAGATATTTACATTTTTAATAGCATAAACCCACAGAGCCGCGTGGCCCGTCTCATTCCACCCTCACCTTTAATACATACCCTCCCCACCTCTCATCCTGGTTTTTTCTACAGCACCCATTTATTAGCCCTAATTGATCGAAAGGGGTCTTCCCTTTCTCCTAAATTTCACCGTTGGGCCCCCAAAACTTCATTAAGAAAAACCAAACGCCAGTCTTATTTATTGCTCATTAATTTTTTCACCACAATTTACCCCACCTTCCTCTCTCCCTCTCCCTCCCACCCGCATCACCGCCCTTCTATCACTCTTTTTTTTTTCTCAGTTTAATTTCACATGGTTGCTCTCGTGATTATGCACTCTGATGAAATAAATTTGTGGTTAATTATTCACTGGTGTCAATCAGTGAATTAGTCACTGGGATCTTGAGATATTTTAGTTTGTTACCCTGGGGAGGGGGAGGGGGGATTTTCTGCATTGCGGGGGGAGTTGACGGGTGATTTTGATGAATTATGAAATTTTTCGATTTAATGGAATTATTTGGAAATCATGGAATAAAAAGTTATGGTTTCTATTTAAAGTTTCTTTTAAAGTTTCTATTTTATTTTATTTTAATTTCGGGAATTCTTTTATGTTTCAATGAAAATGTCATACAATTTTTAGAATTTTTAAATGATTCAAATTTCTCTTCAATTAATCTGTTTGATTATTTTTTTTATGTCAAATTCCGTGAAACTTTGGAATAAAACTACTAGACGTGAAATTTCTATCTATCTTGTAATTGGCTCGCCAATTATTCCATGAAGTTTCCTATTTTAATGTTTACATGCCAGTGAACTATTTTGATTTCTCAACCTGTGAAAAATTGAATGGAACGTAGTATTTATCCTTCACTCTTAATTGAAAATACGAGGGCTCATGGGTAAGAAATTTCATAAATGATTTGATGTGAAATTCAATTAGAATTTACAACTCTAATATAATAATCCCCACGAAACTCCTACTCAATTTCCAGGTAAATTCCGACAGTATAACTGTCAAAACAAGTTATTACTGACAAATCCATTGACAACTAGACTGTTCACTAAAACCTATTATCCCCATGACACCAAAAATTCCTCAAAAATTGAATATCTCATAATTTCCAAATCCCATTCTATGAAAACCACACCAGAACCTAATAATCACGGCCAAAACTAAATCAAAACCTCCGAATCAATTAAACTAACTAATCAAATCAATACAATAAATAAAACTACTAAAAAATACAGCCCTAATCCGAGAGTAAAAGTGTAAATTTAACTTGAGAAAAATTGTGATGCACAAAAAAATTCAATGGCCAATGAAAATCCAATTAAAATGATTGAAAAATTGATATGAAACCCCTAAATTTCGAATAAACCGAATAAACAATAATTATAACTCATGACGAACGAGCCTTACAGACATACGCATTGTGCTACCACGACGCACGGATCCAGTTAATTGGATGGAGTGTTTGTACTTGCAATTAGCGATTAGCAATTACTTCCTCCAAATGGAAGCGTTCGGCTGTCTCAGACCGACGGAGCGATTAATGGGCCAATTGGCTAATACCGTCGTCACGCAAGAATACCAAAGGGTTTTACAACGTTGTGTTTATAGTCTATTGTATGAACCACACATACATCACACATTTTTATGACTTTTTGCCGTGATCATCGACCTCTGTTAACGCTTCTAAACGATCAGTTACATGATTATGTGCTACCAAAGCGTCAGTAGATGACGTTCCTTCATGATAGTGTAAAAATTCACTAATGAATTATCAACGAACAATTTTTTAGGAAATAACTCAAAGCCTCGTTTGTACCCGTAATTTCATGTGTTTAGTTGGAAAAGGGGTGGGAGAAGGGGATTTCACAGATGTTGAATTGAACAGGGGGAGAAAACCCCTCCAAAGAGTAAAATAAAATTGTTTTAGTGGCCGTAAGGAGGAGGAGTGCTTGGTGAGCGCTAATAAAACACAATTAGCGGCTCTCGGGTCAACCAATCAGGGACTTGGAGGCGCGTATAACGCACGCGTAAAAGCCCCCTCCAGGCGAGATTATTTATGATCTGGTCTTGCCACGTATTATTGGTGAGCCGATCATTCGCTCCGTCCATCCTTTAATTTTTCCCTTTTTTCATTTTTCATTGTTTTTTTTCTTTACATTTCTCTCCTTTTTTTAGTGCAATTAGTATCATCCAGCGTGATTTTAAAAAAAGCCAGTCCTATCCGTGATTAAACGAGGGGAATATGTTGAAGAGGGAACGAGAGGTATCTCTGGGTTGGTGATGAGAGGATTTTGTTAATTAGGAAAATATTCTGGGGAGTTTGAAAAATTGAGGGCTTTCTGGTCTCTTAATGCTTGCTGATTAGAAAATAACTTCAGTCGTAAATTTATCAATCGAATTATGAGAAAATCATCATTATTCTGGAGTATTCTGTGTCGGGAAATTAATGGATCGCGTTATTTCATTTTGCAACGATTTTTTCAATTGATTGCATTAGTACCATCTCTGAGAGATTGAATCAACACTTGGAATTATTTTTTTCGATTGTTCGATAGAAAATCAAAACTTGAAATAATCGGTTTATGTGGCAAATTTAAAATATTAGCATGACAAGGAGTAATGTTAATACACAGAGAAAATTTTTTTTTTGCCATGAATATTTACTGTCCACAAGTATATTTGGCATTAGTAAATCTTGTGGGAGTATTTACACAGTGATTGCCATATTTACTAGCGGGAAGAAAATATATTTGGGAAAAGGAATTTTTTTCTCAGTGTATTCTCACGAATTGACCTAGGCAACCCAAAAAACAATAGTGTAGCCTAAGAATCAATAACTCGTTAATTATCGCGAGCGAGCCGTCAATTATCCTCAAGACCATAGGTGATAAGACCCCCCTCCACCCCCCAAAAGCCGGAATAAAATTTTCCCTATCACCGGTAGCGGTCCCAGACCGTTTACCTTATCACTCCTCGTGGTTAAATGGTAATTCGCGTATTTATTTCCACTTGAAAAGTAAAGTAATACAGGTTATCGCGTACATGCGAACGATATAGCTTACACTTTAACGTATATCTGTATCCTTTTGTCGGTGTACCCCTCAAATATACATTGATACCAACACTCGCGTGACTTCGACAATTGGCCTCTTCAATAACTTCTTTCAAAACTCACGTACCCCCCTCCCCGCCCCTCATAACCAAGACATTCCGAGTATTTGGAGTATTGAGATTACGCGATGAAAAAAAAAATGAGGATAAATTATGACTTTGATAATAATTATCGTCTCAATAACTCCTGGAGGAATTTTTTTTTCCATTTTTCATGAAACCCCGAGGTAATGCTCGACCTGAAGAATTCTCGATAGATAATGCCTCGTTATCGTTATTATTTCCCATTTTTAAACTTGGAATTGTGTAAAAAGGTATAAGCCTTAATTACTCATTGGCAATTAAACGTTATGAGGTGTATTGACTCACCATAACCTCGATTCCCATCGTCGTTACCCGGTAAATCAGCATCCTCGACATCCACGAGACTTCTTATACTGAAGACACTCTTGGCAACTCGATGATTAACCGATGTCTTCTGCGCAACAATTTGATCAGCAACGGCGCCATCCGGCGGGCGTCTAGTTGTCGTGCTGAGGTCCATCTGATTATCCACTGATGTATCACAACTCTGACCGATATTACCAAAAAACTCGACTGATGTACCACTGATAAGTGTCAAACATGAATTGTCTCGACTCATTACACCAGATTGCACGTGTTTGCTACGATAAATCTATCAGACTTCACCGGTACAATAGCCGATACTTGGATCATTGTTTCATAATTCACCAACTGGTTTGACAATTTTTTATTTTCACCACTAATACAGGACTGACCACCTCAACCGTGTCGATTCTCAACAAATATCAGGCCCCACGTATAAATATCCAATGAAAATATTGATAACGTTAATCGTACACGGACTACGTCGACTAATTAGATTCACCGTGTTGGTTAAGTATCGTGGCTTGCTAAAACACCGAACCGTCCAGTTTTTCCTACAATCCACTATTTCCACTCACAATTCACTGAGTAACACTCATCTGGTAATAACCAATTGAACAATGTATCGAGTTGCTTGAGGCCAGAACTCGAATTTTGTTCACGTTTTTTTTTTATTCGGTGATATTATCGTAACGATATTGATATCAATTTCATTGATAGTCCGCACAGCACGTTCGACTGCCACTGCTCACGACCACTGACGAATTAGTCAACAATTACAAGCCGACTGTACGGGACAATGAATACTCGGATGTAAACACAACAGTGGGAAGAGGGGGAGCGATGAGGTCAGAGTGAAACAAAACTGGCGAATTGAATAGAATAATAGAGTAACAACAGTCGATTGTTGGGTGAATGGATCGATCACACGTACTTTTCAATCAGTCGTCATTGAACTGTTGGGGGTTATGAGTGGAATAAATGTGATGTGGTGATTGTGTTTGTAACGCGTGTTGGGACTGATCGGCCGTACGACAGATTGTGCACGCGGTCCCACCGGTTGGGGATTTACCTGACGACTCGCGAGTCCCCGCGACTTGGACAACTACCGCCGTCAGGTTTACGAGTCAATGTATAACGAGAGAAGGGAAGCTACCTTTCCCTCCTTATCAACGCCCCCGTTTAACAAAATGGCGGATCGACAGGAACGCCCACTTTGTTGGGGAGAATGAGGGGATGTGTCAGTGCACCGTCTTTGTCATCCGGGTTTAGTGTTAGTGCCATAAAAATTGTGTCATCATCATCTGGATTCATCTCAAGCTCCTGGCCAAGGACTCCGCGGGATCATCTGCTGCTAGTCGACGAAATGGTGAGTGTTTTTTTCATTTATTTTTCCGTATCCGGGGCGAATTGGTCCAACAGCCGGGCAGATTGATGATGGCGTTGGTCAAGGGGTCTTTGGGGTTATTTCATCTCTGGTTTGGAAGTTGTCTGAAAATATTTTCTGGAAAATTTTATTGGATTCATTCGTTTGTTGGAAGTGGGGAATGGCTGGGGTTTTATTATCTTTAGAGAAGAGTTGAGGGGTTGTTTGAGGGTTCATTGGAGTTGACTCTGTGGAAAGAATCCTGGCGTCTTTGTGATCGGTTTTTAGCGGGAATTCTGGGAAGTCAGGTGAATTCTGGGAAGTCAGGTGAATTCGTGGATGAGGGAGACTGTTGACATTGTGCGATCATTCTTTCGGATTAATTTGGAAGATCAAAGGATATCAAAACAAGAGAAGATTCGAGCGTTGTTCAGAGGTTATTGTAGAGGTGATCAAGGTCGTTGATTCTTCGATGTTATTCCCTGAGGTTTCAGATGATTGCGTGATCTGCATGAGATTGAGTCCTCTCTATTTTGTAAAGGGTTTTATCTCTTGCATTTTGGAGATATCGTCAATTGATCAATGGATCAGTTGATCATCTCTGTAGGTTTTTTTCATTTTCATTGTCCAGACGAGGCTGCAATATTCGGAATTGAAGAGGTGGCTGAAAGTCAATCTTAACCAATTTGAAAGTATTAATTCGTCAATATCTCTTTATTGGATTTTCCATCTTACAAATCTCAATCCCAATTGTTCGCAGTATATTATAGTAATAGTTTGAATGCACAAATATTTTATTTGCGATTAACACAACGAAATTTGCGATTTTTGCGTGAAAAAAGTTGAGAACAAGTGATTAATGAATTTTTACGGAAATAGAACGAACAAAAAAAACGATGAACACTAAGTCTTGCTGGGATACATTGAATTGCGGTTCTGTGGAGGATTTGACATATTTCTTGAATTATCGTGACTACCGAAAGGGTATCTTAATCTTTGGCACAATAAATAATGCATCAAGCCATTTTCCTTAGATTCTCATTCCCAAGTTTCACTCGTCTGTGTAATTGTCATTGCGAAAATATATAGCTCGTTGATTATTCTCCTGAGTTTAATCATTAGAACTCAACGAATAATTATGCTTGAGATCCTTGAAGTGGCTGACCACGATTATGCGTTACGCATTTTGCAAATTCGCACTGGCAGTTTTCTTCATAAAAATTTCTATTTATGCGTCGAGCTTATGTCTAACAAATCTACCGAGTGAATATAAATTTCTCATTTTAATTGAACGTAATTTTCGGGTAATGGTGAGGGATAAAGGGTGCCATCTAGGCCCCTACGAGTACAACTGCATCGATAACTGGCAGTTTGAAAATTAATTCCATAAACATTCCTATCTAGTTTACCGACTTCGTTGCCTTACCATACATTGATATAATCCTCACTTACGTCCTTTTGAAATAACTAAAATTATCATTATCAAAATCACTGTCATGTTTTGTTACGTACACCGGACGTAATGCTGAGTTTTTCCATTAATTATTAACGGATATTATTAATTAGTACACTAGGGTCATGGCTCACCACTCCAGTCTTTTTAATAATAGATGTGAGTGGAAAAAAAATTGACACCCAATTTTTCCAGATATTCACAACATTAAATTCCATTTTTAGGTTTTATTTTTGTGATTAATGGGGTGTGAATATCTTGCGAATATTCAGGTGTTAATTTTACCTCACATTCACCTGAATTTCAATCGCGATTATTTGTCTCTTTTGATTCGAATAATTAGCACCTTTGAACGTTTGTCAAAACGTTCTGGTGATTTTGAGCTTTGAGAATAAATGATTTATGTCAATTAAGATTATATAGTTTGGCGCTAAGCTGTCGTGTGGTTATTAATTATTGGGGGGGCTGTTGTCATTGGTGAACGTGTTTGGTGAAATCTCAGTAATTCTGAAACTGTCACTGCAACACGTACCACACCACGACCTCCTTCCAAGACGTCACTAGCGCAGCAGACTAAATTCTGTAACAAAAATAATTCAATCCAAATTATCAATCTGCCAGGAAACGATTAAGTCCGTGGTTTATTTAACGCCTAAATGAGTCAATGAAAACTAAGCGAAGGAATTGGAGTGGTGATTTAAAATTGTTTCATCTCGTCAGATGGTCGAATTGCTCCATAAAATATCTAGAACAAAGTCCATTTATTAATAATTATTGGTCATCATTGATTATAAATTTTTAATTATTTTTCCTTAAAGAATAATAGAAAAATTGATACAATCAAAAATGATGACACTAATTTATTAAAAGGGGATTCCTGAAAATTTATTGAATTTCACCCCTCGTTTTTCTCAAAAATTCTCACAGAACCGAGAAATCAGTAGTTTTTATCGAAGAATATTTTATTACCAAAGACGATATTACAATAATTGATATACCCAATACAATGAACGTTACAATGTGATGATGAGCCCTCAAAAAGAAATAGATTGAATAACGTAGCAACAGTCACGTCATTTCCATATAAATATAACAAAACTTTGGGAAAAAAAATAAATATACATGGAAAAAATTAATTAAATCTAACAGGGTAAAACCTGGTGATAATCTCAACACACATAGAAACGCAAACTCCATGGAGTACGTTCTAATATTGCGTAATGAATCGTAATTATCACTCAAGTCAACCAAGGAATGATTTTTCCTCATTAAGTACGAAATAGCTTATTGAATTAATTTGTGGGATTCGTTGAGAAACGAAAGAAAACAAAAGCAGTCTTTCAGATCAGCTTGCAGTGTTTGACACAAAATCTGCCAATTGTAATACTGTCGTAATGTTCTTAAGAACAATTTAAGTACATTTTCCACTTCATGGGATTAGTGATTCAACGAATAATTGAAAATTCGTGGTAAATTGTTCGGATATTGCATAATTTTGTTGAAAAACTGACTAGAAGAATAAATTAGAGACTAGAGACTGGAATTGCATAAATACGTGACGTAAAAGAAGTCAAAAAAAAATCGTGAAATGCATAAATAACTTTCTGTTGAAAAAGATCGCATGCTTCGAAATCATAAATACGTGTTTAATTAAACCGAGAATAACTAAAGCTTCACGGAGAAGTATAATTAAATATACGAGAGACTCTCAAACTCCACTTCAGCTCCATGCATATACCTTTATCATTTAGAAGCTTTCGTATGAAATAAATATCCAATAATCATACCGCGATATTATCGCTGCTTATTCAATTAACCCAGATAAAAAAAATTAATGAAAAATTGTCTTGAGAGACTAAACACAGCTGCGACTATGAGTCACTCACGATTTGCTTGATTTAACGCCCGATGCACTGCAACGAGAATTATTGTCAACGAAATAAATGAAAATTCTTGAAATAATTTTCATTCTCTACAGTCGTACCTGCCGTTTTGATTACAATTATTAATTAGCGAAAAATATATAATTTGAAGACATCTGCTTGTCAAATATATGGGTGATATGCCCCTTACGAAATTTATCGACGAATTCCTTTCATTTTAATCTGCATTAATAAATGCAATGCAATTACTCCCTTCGTGTGATTAACCTGTTGATTTTGATTAGATCGTATAAAAAGATTGGATACACTATTAATCATGATAATCACTGGTAAATACCTACAATATTCGAATGGAAAAATCTCGCTAATTATCCTACGTCTATCAAATGCCTGATCAATCGTTAAAAAGTTACCAAATAAATGCACAACCGCTGTTGCAGCACTAGATAAATGCATAATAATTCGAATACAATTAGCTTTCCGATGATAATGAACAACCTAAAAAGTAACAGCCTTGTTGTTAAGCACCTTTTTTTTTCATTTAAAAAATTCGATAGTTATTGCGTATGAGACACTTTCGTAGGCCATCGTAAGCCAAATGGTGCATAAGTGCATCAACTAAATGACAAGCCGCATTAATCCAACGAAATATATAGTATCTTTCTCGCCGGAATAAAAAAAATTGCCTCAAAAGTGTCCACATGAATTCTGTCAGAATCATTTAGTGTTTGTGGTGATTAAGTTGTGATGAATTAACGTGGCCCTGATTAATGATTCGTATTGATTGCCTGGGATTTTCTAATCAGGCATTGGGAAGATATAGAGGAGAGACAGGGTTGATAAAAATAGGGCTAAAAGCATCGCGGTTAGGACCCGCTCCTGTATTGTACGTTGTGAACCTGCGACTGGCTCTTCATTAGTCTCTTCATCGCGTCGCAATGGAAGAAGAGTTGACACGAGACACGACAGAGCCTGGAGCCCACACGCGTTCATGTAACCCATGTCCATGATTGCATCCGCATCCATTAACACCTCCTGTAACCAACAACGATACTACTCAGTCCCATTTTTCCTTTCGATTGGTTCTTCAACGATTATTAATTCAGCTACCCCTTATTCCAAATTCTACGACTCTTATTGATTCATCATTGATTCACTCATTGTCAATTACTCAATTAATAACTTATGTGCTCAGCAAGTTTTAGTCGTTGACAAATTACTGATGGTACAAATTGAATTATTACTCATTATTACTCATTATTCGTTATTTGATGATTCATGACTCGGATTTATTAATTCACTGATTATGTCGTTTAATTGTTTTTATTAGTTGATATTGGATGATTTTTAGTGGTGATTATTGTCTAGGATGAGATGATCATTTACAAAAATCCATGAGTAAATTCAGGATGAATTAATAAATAGCACAACGTCAAGGTTCCAGGTTACTCCCAGATAATAAGCAATGTGACACAGAAGCAATTCGATCTAATGCGCATGCAACTAAAGCTTTATCTCAATGTTTTTCTCAATAGCAGCTCATCACCCACCCAATCCCACCCATTTTTATCCAATTGATACGTACAGTATTCGGGACTGACTAGTAGTTGTTGGAAATACAGTATGTGATAATGTGGAATGAAATGATTTACACAAAAATTAAATTTGCAGTTACGAGTTGAAATTTTTCATCGTAACTTTGTTTATTCTATGGGGATGATGCACAACAATGATTTTGGTGTTTGTTATCGTTAAATAGTACATCGTGAGTTTAAGGGAATTTCATTGATATTTATTCCATCGTTATTTCGATGTTTATTCGCTAATGACGGACTTTATTGCTCAACAATTGAATTTTCATGCATGGTATGGTGTTTAAAAGATAAAGTGACAATGGCTAGAAGCACAGTCTCTCGGAATAAGTCTCAGAGGAATGAAATAGGGGAAATTTTATTGTAATTACCTCGTCCACTCCGATTTTTCGACAGGCCTCGAGGAAATTGTCGACGTTTCGTCTGCATCTTGCCATTGTTAGTTTTGGCTGTGGAAATCATTGAGATGATTAATTAATCATTAATAGTTTATCTGAGAGGCATAGAGTGGGGAATTGTAACTCACAACTGCAGGTGATGGAACGTGAATACTTCCGACTGATCGGGGCCTCACGTGATTGGCAAGATGACAGAGGACAACACCATCGGTCAGGGCTGGCGCCAAGTCTTCAGGCAATGCCATCTTCAATCTCGTTTCAATATTCTGAAAATAAGATAAAGACGAAATTCATTAATTTCGTCAATCATATGCCTCAAAAACTCAACATCATGATGAACGGAAAATTTCTGGTAGATTAGGATCTTCGAGAATTATTTTCGCATCCCCCCAAAAAAAAATAAACTCACACTTCTCAATTGCTCGATCAAATCAGCCTCCTCTTTGGCTCTTTCAAACTCCCTCCTCATCGTAAATGAATACTTCTCCGGCATATTGCTGTTCCAAGTGACAGTCCTCGGTGATTTTGGACTGAGATTATTCTTGTTGGGGCTCTTACTGCTGTCCTCGACGTACCCAACAGCAGTTTTAACGAGTCTCGTAGCATGTGCAGGACTGGAATTGGTAGATAAAATTCCACTCGAGCCCTTCACCGGTGAACTAGGTTTCTTGTACGGTTGCTCCATATACTTTCCACTCTTCCCATTGTACTCAAGATTACTTCCATTGATAATCGGTGAATTATTGTAATTCTGAATGCGAGAAGGTGTGACTTTTTGTACAGGCCTCTTGGTGCCATTCTCATCATTGAATATCTGTTTATTTGCCAGTATTCCATCATTTGTGTTTATATCTGGTTCGTTGCCCTGCGACTCGTTGCCTGGTGGTGTTATTTGCTCCTTCGGTCTGTAGACACTCGATCCCTCGTTCGCCCGTTGTTGTCTCAGTGCCTCCTTGTACTCTCTAAATTTCCCAGAAATTAATTGAATTTCATTTTATAATCAAATCATGTCTGTGGAGTTGGCAGTTCGAAGGCGTACCTGTACGTTTGTGTGTGATTCAAGGGTCTCTTCTCCTCTCCATTCATTATTGGAGAAGCTGTCACATTGTGACTCGACTGGAGTGACGGAGATTGATTCAAAAGTCCACTAGACTCCAAATTTCTGGGGAATATCGTAAACTATTAATCACTCGCGTCTATTCATTAAAGAATTATCTCGGATAATTCTAACTCTATTCGGATTCCGGGACAATTCTCCTATCGTGTGAGGAAATAATATGAGATTCATTATAGTTCAGTAATCTTTATAATTAATCATTGAAATGATTAAAAATTGATTAGAGACGAACGATACATGACGATTACGATTTTTTTTTTGTCATATGCATTCATAATTTTTTGAATTATCATATTTATCGCAATAAATAATTGCATTGTGCTCACCCTGGTGGTGTGATAGAGTTGTTGTGAAGCGCCGGAGCCATTGGTCTCTTATCAGTCCCATTTTCTGAGGCGCTGCGCTCTAATCGTCTCTTCTGCAGTTGGTCGTGAAGTATCATTGCCTGGAGATAATAGCACATCAATTAAATATTGATTGATCAATTTATTTGACCTCGGTTGTGTCTACTCCACATATTCTTTCTGCACACGATTTTTAAACCACATTGTAACAGGGATTATTTATACTCAGAGTATGAGAGATAGACAATATTTCGATGAAATTTTATCGGTCCAGTGACTAAAGCGTTGTTCGATGAAAAATAAAAAATTCATACTAACTTTTCCCAATTCATCCTCGAGGGAGGTTCGTTCCCCTGGGGATATAGTGCTGGGTGTGGAGGTTCCACTGAATGATCCGTTGACACCGACGTCATGAGGCAATGTAATTGAGAGTGGTGAGCACTCTTGTCGCCATCCACTTCTCGTTTCCGTTTCATTCACCTTTGATAAATAAATTGAGATAAGTTTTGGGGATGAAATATTTATTTAGCTAACTACATGGTTTCTACTTTTATTTCTAATCTACTAGTAGAGGCGCCAAGGGGATACGGCAATGAGTAAATAAGATACTGTGGCGATAATGAAAATGTAACTGACCCCAGTGTGAATTTCTTGAGACCAGCGTTTATCAACTCCGTCACTGGTACTGTAACCACTGTCGACGTTGTGACGCCTGTGGGATCGTGTGTCTAGGGTGGCATGTCCTCTAGCTTCCAGTGGACTTCTTCTTATTCTTCCCGATCTTGCTCTCTCGTGTTTCGCTGCCTGTCTCTCTAAATATTTGAATATGTGTGTTCGCCCGCGAATGCACAGCTGGAGAAATAATCAATGAGTTGGGAAATTCGAGGCGAACTCGTGAATTAATAATGCACGATTTATGGGATAAACTATTTACCGAGGCAGGTGGCGAGGTGAGCGGATTATCGGCGAGTCGTAGGTCCACAAGGCTCTTCATCTTTCTTAATTCATTTGGCAGGACTGATATACGATTACCACTTATATCCAGTTTCACGAGTCTTAGGTACGTCAATTCTGAAATGTGGAATCCAGGTGTTAGGGTTTCAAGGATTTTACACCGACGCGACTAATACCGGATTTTTGAACCTTTTCAATATTCAGGAATTTTTATATGACTCGAGAAATAGAGAAACAATCTCGTAAATTTTTCCAGATTTTCTTCACTCATTGATTTCGAGATAGGAAAGTCCGTGTAATATGGATATTTTTTAATTTAAATTAATGGAGTAACAATTAAAACTGAAAATCATTTAATTATTGTCAAATCCACTCCACATTACTTGATTCAAAACAAAATCAAATTTTTATTTTAATTACAAACGTTTTATTATTTTTTTTTCTTTATCTTGGAAGAATTGCTAATAGAAGACGAATTTTTAAATAATTATTTCATTTACTTATGAAGTATTAAACAATATTTCATGGATTAGACATACATTTTTTAATTTCACGGATCACATAAAAAAATCGATGCAATATTGAAAGGCAATACTCCAGTATGGGTCGAGTACAAATCAAATCGCCGTAGAATATCGTATATTCTTCAAAATTATTTTCCCGGGTTGAATTTTCTTCTCAATCCACTCACCAATAGGCAGATGTACCAGCATATTATTTCTAAGATCTAGCCACCTGAGTCTCGGTAAATCCCCGATTCTGGGTGGTAGACTAGCAATCTCATTGCAACCAGCATCCAATTCAGCAAGTGCTGTCATTCTTCCGAGCTCTTCTGGCAGTGACACCAAACGGTTGTGAGCGACCAGAAGTGTTTGTAGAGGTAATCTGCATACCTCACGTGGCAGTGATGTCAACTGATTTCGACTGACCACGAAAAAAAAAATCAATTGAAATAACGTCGCAATCCTGTCAATACCATAATAACCACAAGCCCCTAATTACCTGAGATCGAGGTAGCTCAATGACTGGAGCATAACAACAGTCTCCGGTATGACCCGTATTGCATTGTGATAGAGATGAAGTTTCTCCAGAAATGGAAACTCCGTGACCTCCTCAGGTAGCTCACCAAAGCGGTTTTTCGATAGGTCTGCAACCCGATTACATTCATAAATAAATTATCAATTGAATCAAGAGAAATGGGGCGTATCTTGCTGATATTAATTATAAATTCATCTCGAGTCACATCTCTGGGTCATCAAGATGTCCTTATCATCTCCTTTCCTCTCCGGATAAACTCCATTTCGGGAAGTATTGATCAGAAATGTTGTGCTTCAGTGTACACTTCGTCGAGGTACCAATGTGCTTCAACCCCATGGCAACAGCTGAAAAGCTCTCCCTTTGGTACTGATTCTTCACCAGGGGGAATACTAAATGGGGGTGCAAGGGCCACGTGTGTGTTTCGAAAATGAACTTCATGGGGTGGGAAGTAAGAAAAGGGTGGGCCCTCAGCTGCTCCCAGCAACCGTCGACTGATCAATAATATAAACGAGTACCGCGGAATGTCGTTCACTCATTAATCCTTGGATTTATCCGGTTATTATTCACCATTAACTCGTGGTCTCATTCTTACTTTACCATCGATACCAATCACAACTCGGTATTTTTCAAATAAAAGAAAATTGAAATCATCCAGACACGCTATAAAAATGCGTCTGGTGCGTCTCAGGTTGCTGGCAATGGTTATCGAGGGGGGGAACAGCTGGGGTCGATGTACTAGGACACGCGAGGGTTGTTCCTTGGCAAAGGAGCAAGGTCGAGGTCCCTCGGTACTGCAACCACACCGATCGATACCAACCTTTTCCACAAAACTCGTGACATCCTCCGTTTATATATTTCAATGGATAACACGTCCTTCGGGGGTGTGGTCATTCCACATTTCAGTGTGTGCAAATTTTTATTTGAAAAATTGTACACAATATTGATAAACTATTGATGACTATAAAATTTCGTTGAGTGTTCTACACCTTTTTTGTAAAATTTCATTTTTATCGCAAATTTATGAGGAGATTGACGTGAAAAAAAAAGTTTTCGCGTTTTGTATTTATTTAAAATTTTGTTAGGGCCGGGGGCGTTGAGAATATGATTTAACTGCACTGTTCACTAGATAAATAAAATTTCCCCGTGAAGCAATCTCGAGTCTGCCCACATCTGCTGGCTCGAATGCTTCTGTTATCAATCAAAGCCTTTCCGATTTTCAACCATATTTATCAGTCCGGAAAGTGAAATTACAGTTAACACTCAATCTCATCTTAACTACTCCTCAATAAATATCGAAGTATTTACTATTTAAATAATCACCTCCAAAAGATCAAATACTCCCGTACGTAATGATTAAATATTTATTAAACACTAAGTACCTCGTACGAGTACGTGCATATGAATATCTGCATTTAAAACGCGAAAATGATTTTTTGCAGTTAAATTCGCTGGGTAAAGTAATAATTCTCCATAAACACATTTTTTTTTTGCAAAGGGTGGGTCGAGGGTGTGGTTGTTGCACCTTTCGTTATCAGTGGATGTGCCAACAATCAAGAAAAAATGATTGTGACACTTTCGAGTTAATAAATTAATTTCACTCGAAAGAATTAATGACTAAACTTTTATATTTTTTTTTTTGTTTTTTGGTTGACAGTTGTCACGGGTGTTTGAACAAAGAATGAAAAGGCACTTATGGTTTGATTTCACTTTTCATTTAATCACAAGTTTGAATTCTTCACATTTGCACTGTTACTATGGGTTTATAAAGAGAACTAGGTTTTTCTAATGGGACCAACTCTGATCATCGAAGCTAATCTCAAAATATGAAGTCTTGGGAGGAACTTGGACACTCGCGATGTGGTTCGATTGTTTGTCTACTTGGTACTGTTTTCTTTTTCCCTACACTCCTTCCTCCATTATCTTCCGAGAGGGGTAACTAGTTTCCTAAATTTTAAGAAGGGATGAAAATTGTAGTTCTGATTGGTGGGAGTTTTCTGTAGGAGGGTCTGCGTGCAAGGAGAGAATTTTT